TTCACTTCACTCTCAACACTTGCTTTTCTTCCTTGAACCAAGTGCTACCTTGTGGCCATCAGTGGATTTTAAGTTAACCCTGCCATCACCTGAAAGGCAAAACCCACCCTGGAATTAATACGAGTTCACTTGGCAGATGAGGCAAATACAGAAGCCGTTGTAAGAGTTTGGAATAATTGTCTTTTAAATATCTACATATCTATAATATGTACTCATGTACACACACAAATGTGTGCGTGTAGGCAGAGACATGGCGAATGTGTGTGTATGCATGTGTGTGTAGAGACGAGGGGAGGGGGTACTTTGTACAAAAGGCAAAGGTGTAGAATTTGAGGGTTGCCATGGATACAGGTCAGATGCCTTTGTTCTCGCATTGTGGTGTAGCTTAGGGAGATGAGAGATGCACCAGCTACAGAGAAAGATGAGGGGAGAATTAAAAAAAAAAATAAATTGGTAACGTGAAGGAAAATATCCATACTTTATATCAAAGTTTGAAATAAAAGGCAGTAAATGAAGGCAATTTACAGATGCACACGCGATTGAACTCACGGAGAGTCTGGGAAACGACTCAGTTGAGTGGCATCAAGGGAAATATCATCGTGGTATTGTCATGGTCACAGACAGCCCCTCTGCGGAGCCACAGAGCCACTTGTCTGCAGTCACTGTAGTGGTACAGAGCCTAATGGCTCCGTGCACAGCCTGAGCAGACGGATGTGCGCCCGGACAGGCTTGTGTGAGTGGCTAGTGCACTTCTGACTTTGTCTTTCCCTTTTAAAGTCTTCTCCCTTGCTTTCTGTAGTTCCAGGCTATTTGATTTGGTGCTGGGGAGGAGGTTTCAAACCGGGATCCATATGGGGCCCGTCAGTTGCGACTGGATTCATTTTAAAGTTCTTGTTAAGTCCAACAAAAAGCCAAAGATTAGAGCTGATATGTTGGCTTTTCTCCAAATGCTGATCCTTGAAAGGCTGCCTTGAGACCTCCAGGCGACTCTCTCATTCTCCTTTTTCTTCTTGCTCTTCTCCCTTTCTAATTGCTTCCCAAATTTGGGTTTATTAGCATGGTTTTGAAGCCAGGTAATCAGAACCATGAATGTATTTTTGTCTCCCCTATCACTTTCTGGTACCAATCAGATCATGTCTCTCTGTTGGTTCAGAAGGTCCACTTTAGCATCTTGACCACCAACATCAGAGCCTTGGCAAGGCTGTGGCCTTTTGGGATCATGCTTTAAAACCCGCTGTGAGCCAGCAGCTACATTCCTGGCAGCCTAACAGCCATGTCTAAAGGAAAAGCAACGTGGCTCTCATCCGCAAGCTGGGAGCGCTGCTTCCTGCTCTGCAGCCTGAGCTGCAGCCTCCCCTTCCCTGTCCCTGAGGCTCACTGTTCAGGACTTGCATGGTCTCTGGGCTTCCACCTGGATCTCTGCTTTCACAGATATTATCGCCAAGGCCACACCTCTGCTAGCAGTGCGAGGACAGCAGTAGCTGTCATGGCCAGTTCCTGTTGTCTCCCGCAGTCCAGCTGCACTCCACCACTGGAGATCTCTCTTCCAACCTCAGTTCCTCCCCGACTTCCGCATCCCTCCCTCCGGGAACAGCTCTGACTGTCCAGGCTGCGCAGGAAGCAAGAGGCTGCCAGAAGAAGAGCAGAGCCTCATTAGGAATTGCATCTAATCAAACAAGCAGACAGGGAATGGAGATCAGGAGGGGGATGGATATGGGTGACACCTGGTGCCAAAACCGGGAGGCCAAATGCAGAAAGGGCGGCAGGCGGGAGCTGGGGCTGAGTCCACCAGCCCACACCAAAGCTCTCATGGCAAGGACACTGCAGCAGATGCTCCTGCTGTGTTCCGAAATGTGCCTGATTTGGATGACCCTCCAGAAGCCTGTGTCACGCTTGCCACTGCGTGTGTCTCATGGGGTGGCTCTGGAGGGGTGCTTACAGAAGGCAGCTTTGGGAAAAGCACTCGGAGGGCTTGGAGCTAGCAGGGCACATCTCAGAGCCAAAAGAGAGAGGCTGAAGGTGTGTGAGAGACTGCACAGGGAGAGCTCTGCTCATCATCCTGCCTTGATGGCCCCATCCTGCCCCGTGGGGATGGCAGTCGTGCAGGTTGTTCTCACTGCTGCATGAGAACAGCCATTCTTGCTGCAACAGGGCAGCCTGTGCTTTTTTGCAGGTATTTTGAACTGCAGCTGCCACAAGGCCTGTGTGCAACAGGGGGCATTAAAAAGCCATCACGCATTGTATTGTCCATCCATTAATTTAAAATATACGCAGCCACATATAAAATACTACCTAACACGTAATATTCATGCAGTTTAAATTAGACAGTAGGCCAATATATTTTCAATATGCACCACGCAACCCAATGTGTGCTCTGAGCATGTCAGATAGATGTGAAATGTGTGTGTGAGATGCATCTGGACCGGGAACAGCTTGCAAAGCCATTCAGGAAAATGGTGCGAGGGGTGAGGGGTGGGAATGGGCTGGTGATGTCTCTGGGTTTGTGGCTGCTCTAACTCCAGATCTCCTGTCCTGGGAGTCCCCCAGCATGCGTTGGTGACCCCAAACATGTGGCCAAAAAGGAGCCAGACTGCCCTGCTGCCTGCAGCCCATCACCTCACTGCCACAATGGCCGTGCAGTACAAAGGAGCAGTAAAGGAACTGACATTTCCATTCACTCCTGCCAGTGCAGGGCTTGCTGGTGATCCTTCTGCACAGACAGGGTTGGGGAAAGTCTCCAGGCCATCCTGCAGGAGCTCCAGTGCACTGTGTGAGTGCATGCAGGGTGGGAAGGGACAGCACTGGCTTAGTCCTGTGCTGCGCACCCAAGGTGATGCCCACCCCTGCAATACATGCAGTACCTGTTGCATTATCTCTCTGGCTTTGTAATGCCTACAGACTGGCTGTGCCTGAGGCCCTGGCTCTGAGCACCCCAGATCTGTCACACACACATTCCTGTACTTCTTTCCTCCTAAACTCTGCAAAGGGAAAAATCTCCTGTTAGCCACGGGAACTGCACAGGAGGATACTTCTCCCATACTTCTGCCATGCAGGATGGATGTAAGCTAGAAAGCCATAGCAGAGGCAGAGGTGGAGCAGATGGGGAAGTTGTTTGGTTAGGAGACAGATGCTGGATTTGCAGCTCAAACCCTGGTCTTATCAGCCCTGGTCTTTTTCCTCCCCTCTCGGTCACCCTCCAGACCCAAGAAGAAAGCCCAGGTCCTGCTCCAGAGAGACCACAAGGCTGGTGCTGGAAGATGCTTCATATCTCTGGCAACATCTGGGGAATTTTTATTTAAAGGTTTTAGTACATCAATGTGGAAAACACTGTTAGATGTGGTCATTACCCGCAGCCCTTTTTGTTTCAAAAGAGAGACAAAGCTCCTTCTTTTGGAAAAAAGAAAGTTCTAGAGTTCTGCCTGCAGCCATCTGAGCTCTCAGCCCTGCTCATGGCCGACCCCCAGCATCCCCTTTTCCTGCTCCAACGTAATGGGAGCTCAGAGGCCGACGCAGAGACACAAAGTCAGCACGCTGGGAGATCAGCAGGATGTGTGCAAACCGGCTTGGATAAAATCACCCCAGGCACAGCCTGTACCATAACATCACCAAGAACAGTGAGGCTATGAAGCCTGAGAAATAGCTCTTCGCCTCTCCCCATCCCCCCATTGCTTTTCCCACTCCTGCCGCTCACACCTGGGCTCCAGTTGCTGCATCCAAGGACCACATTGAGTCTTGCTCTCGCAGCACTGCTAAAGCTGGGACTCCAGCTAAAGCTGGGTTATTCTGAGCTGAGGTTTTCCTCCTTGTGGAGGGACTGTGGCTGTACCAGGCTGGATGTCCTAGCTGGCTTTGTGGCTCAGTGCAGGGAAACACCCAGGAGCCTGCAGCAAGCATCTCTCATTCCAAACTCCCCCAGTTCAGAGATTAGGCAGAAATTCAAACAAATGAAGGCAGTTGCTGGAGAGGACAGGAAGCAATTACAGACCACCCTGTATAGGCAGGACAGCTCGCAGCTTGTGTGGCTGCTGCTGCTGTTTAAACAACAACAACCCCCGGGCCGGGGAGGGCAGGAGCATCTCAGAAGAACAATGCTGGAGCGAGGTGCTGGAGGAGTCACAAGGAGGATGGATGCAAAACGCTCCAGCCCAGGGCCCTGGGTCCTTGTGCGTGGGTCGGCAGGGTCCCGCTGGCAGGAGGAGCACAAACAGGATGGGTTCACGGACCCAACAGGAGCCGGGACCTCCTGGTACTGCGCCAGTGAGCAGACCCACGCAGGTCAGGGGATGGGGCCGCAGGATGCCTTTTCCATCTGCGGGGCCATTTTGCAGCAGGATTTTTTTCCTTTGCCATGAGGGAGGCATTTTCAAGCTGTTTTCCCCAGGATATCCCAGCTCCGCCTGACAGCTGGTTCCCATTGGGCTCCTGACCAAAGGCAGGCTCCAGAACGGGTGGGAGTGGGCGGGAGCGGGGGAAGGGAACCTAATAATGATGAAGACGAAGAAGAGGAAGGATGAAAGGCACTGAAATGTGGAGGGTGGAACCAAAGCAGGAGGACACTCGGTGGGAGGGGCTGGCGAGGCTTTGAAGCTCCTCGCTATGGGGAGCCTCCTTTAAACCCTACACCATATTGGTACAAGGTGGGGGAGGAGGGCCTGCCTCTATTGCCCTCTGAGATATTGCAGGGGGTCGTGCCCCCCATGTAGGATGGGCTGCTTCTGTCCATTCATCATTGTAAAATGCTTGTCCCATCTCCCACGGCCTCCCGGTCCCCTGGCATTGCCAGTCCTGGTGTTCCTTGTGGGAATGCGCTGGTGAGGATGGTCCCCAGAGATGCTCTGCTGGGAAATGACCTGAAATGAGAGTTAGCTCATGAGGGCTGGGCTGGAGGACTCAGTGGCAGCACAGAAACAGTTCCATCCTTGTAAAGGCAGTACTGGTGAAAGGGCACACTCCAGTGTGGCTGATGATCGGGTGAACTGGAGAGGACTGCTCAGTATCTTCAGCAACTGCAAGTATGTTCCTACAAGGACTGAAGGGCTTGTTAGAAATTCATTCCCACTTTCTCATTGCCCAGATGTCAGCAAACACAGTGGCATTAAGGGCCTCAAGGCTTTGCTGAGAAGATAGTGAGAAGTTCCCGAGCCAAGAGCTCTAGTGGGGCAGGCAGGTCCTACAAGCAGCATGGTGTGCACAGCAGCTCTCCCTGCAGAGCCACTTTGGTTCTGCTCTGGAGGGAATGCTCGAGGAGAAAGCTGCCCACCTTTGCCACGGCCACGGGTGTGATGCTGGGGTCAGACCCAGCTGAACACTGCCTGCTTCAATCCGACAGCATAGCTCTTGTTTGCAAAGCACTCACATGCCCTTGGCTGATTTCTGCCCAAGAATTTGTCATCCTGAAGTGTTTGCTGGATAATTTGGACATGATTGCAGTCACCTCATGCAGGGAGTGTACACAGCGGTCAGGCCACGAGCATCTCACTTGAGTTCGTGATCGATCTGGGTTTGTACTGCAGACCCTATGGTTGCTATTTCAGACTGTGCCTTGCTCCCAGCCCTCATGGGCTCATCACCACCACTCCTTTTCTTCTTCCAGCAGCACGGGGCTCACATGGACATCTGATGACATTGGACACTGTGTTTCCTGTGTGTCTCACAGCACCCATCAGGCCTTAGATGGAATTCATCCAAAAGAAGGACAGGGAAATCCTACTTTAGGAAGGTGCTAGGAGGACATTCGCTCTTCCTTCCCAAATCAAACCTGAATGAAACTCTCCATGGGAAATTAGAACACGACAGTTTATTAAATCACAACTGACTGAACTCAGAGCATCAAGAAAGACAGCAGCAGCCAAAAAATAAAGTCACACAAACTGCAGAAGAAAACACTCAGCTGACACCAGCCTTTGGAGAGCTGGATATGCCCCTTTGTCAGCTGCATGACCTTACAGCATGGCTGGGAGGTTATTCCCCTTGGATCCAAGGTACCTTGCCCCATTCTAATACTGCTCTGAAGCAATGAAAGCAAAAGTGTCAATCCTTGCAGTTGCCCTGCAGGGTTCAGAGCAGTGTCCAGAGCAGTGCTGAGACCTGGGGCTGAAAGAGAGCACCCCCCCCCCCCCGGGCTGTAAATCTCTGGAGGGAAAAAATACTCTGTCAGTGCATTGTTTGGCCCAAGGTTGTCAGGAAATCAGCAGGGGAGAGGCACGAGGTGACATAGAAAAAACAATGGAAGGAGAAAGTTAACAATAACATGGGGTTTTTTTTGAACAGCAGGCTATTTCTGACAGAATTGGTGGAAGGTTCAGTGTGCTCCCTGATGCAGGAACACAGCCGGGCCCCGGGGGTGCAGCCAGGTACCCCCAGCCCTGTGTGCTGCTGCAGTGGGTGGTGGAGCATTGGGGAAACACTCAGAGCAGCACAGGGTTGCAGGGAAAGCTCTCAGGTCTTGTAGAGCACCTCCATGATGAAATAGCAGGATCTGGTGAACACTGCTGGCAGTTCCCTACAGGGCAGAGGTTCTTTCCATGTACAGTTAGGCTTGAATGGACCCAGGGGGGGGAGCAGAGTGGTTATTAACATCCTAAAACCAGGTGTGGGCCAGAACCACCCCACCCAGGTTTGCACTGGGATCTGCAGGTGCCCGGCATGCTGGGATGAGCTGGAAAATTGAATACGATTTTAAGTTAATTAAAACTACTCTCTGTGTGTTAATCTTCTTGTCAAGTTTTAATTAAGTGCTGATAAAAGCTCACCACAGGTGAGGTGGTCCTGACCTCCCCCAGCCAGGCAACCTGTGGTGTGGGGCTTCTTGTTAGCACATCACTGGGTTACTGGGGGTCTCACTGGTGTTTTGTGCTGGGGGAAAGGAAGCCTGGATTGGTGGGAACACCTATGCAGGTGTGCAGCCACTTTCCTTTGAAGAAAGGATGAAATACAGCCATTTTCTAGCCTGTGCTCCTCGCCAGCCTGGAGAGGCCCCCTGTCACTGCCCCCAAGCATGGTGCTGCCCATCTTCTGATGTGAGGTACTGTAATTCAGGCTCATCTCAGAGTAATGACCACCTTCTGCTGCAGGGAACGTCAGGGTGGGTTGGGCTCTATGAGTGTTGTTCTGCTTCTCCCTAGGAGCATCTCTGTGCGAATGCAGTTGCATGGGCTGGAGGAGGAAAGCTGTGCAGAACAGAGGCAAGCAAGGCATGGGGAGCTGGGAATACAGAGTGTGGAACATAAGGAACGTGCCTGAGGTCCCGATGGATTTGGAGCGATGTTAGCAGCCCAGTGTGCTCACATCGACAGGGCAGAAGAAAGGTCTCTGCAGGGCAGCAGTGGCAGAGGGGTGTGGGACAGTTTGTTTCCTTCTCATGGAGCAGTGCCAACCCTGTCTGGTGAGAACTGAAGGCAGCTTCCCTGCAGCAGCACAGAGCGGTGGGCAGGAGCTTTGGGCATTGCGGTGCCCCCCGGGAGCCTCCTTCAGGAAGGGGCAGAGCCAATCCCACCCCCTTTTTTATTTTATCCCTATAAAATCCCCCACTCTAACGATGCAGGAATAATTTTTCCTCTTTTGGAGAAGCTGCTTGCCTGGATAATATCTCCCTAAAGTGGACAAGGTGATCCTGCACCAGCTCCAGCCGTTCCTCTCCCTGTTAGTTAACGAGCGCAGGCTGGAGAGCAGCATTTCTAGCAGCTCAGCTGTCTCTTATGACCCTTTTTTTCAATGCCAGACAATCTCATTTTGCAGCAATTATCTCAATCATTGACCATAGATTGAGCCAAATAGTTCCTTGCTATAAATTCCTGTAAATATTTCCATTGCCGAGTTGACATTTCCCTCTGAACTGACAATTAAGCCATCTTTGCACAGATATTACCATTACATCTAACCTCTATTGATTCCGTTTTTACATTTTTTTTTTATAGGCAGCATGTTTCCCACTCTGCACACAAGTCTCACCTAAGCTTTTCCTTGTGTTTTTAAGGTCCCTAACCAAAATTAAAGACATTTCCCGTTGTAACTTACAACACCTTGTAATGCTTCTAAAGCGCCACAGATAGTCTTTGAAATATCTCAGGACCAATCGAGTGCACAAATGGAATTAAGCGTTCCTGGTTTAGAGCCTGAGTCATGAAGTCGAGTGGCCAAAGCGTTTCTCCTGCCTCAGGTTTCCCAGCTCAGCACAGGTACAGCACCTGCATTTACAATTAGGAAGTAATTAAGTGATACTGCTTTTAAAATTGATGGTGACTGCTCAGCGCTCCCGAAAGTGCTGCTGTGTGGTTCTGACCCTCTCCCCAGCCATGGGATCAAGCATGTTTTTGTTTTGGGTATTTCTGTCCATTGTGTTCCAGGATCTCACGCATAGTGAATGGTTTCACTGGTTACAAGCAGTCTTCGCCAATCTCTTGTGGGTTGTTTTGGAGCTGATCTGTGCAGGAAGGTGCTCACCTCTCTGCCCTGCTCTCTGATGTGCTGCAGTGTGTGCTTTGAGCTTGGCTGGGGCTGTGTGGGCTCTTCTGAGCGGTGCTTTGCTCGCCCCAACCGCTGAGATTGATGTTGTGTAGGCATTTTGCGTTGGGAAAGAGAGGCTGAAAGCACCTGGAATCAATTGTCAGCACAATGGAAGTTGGCATGGCTAATGCTGGGGAGAGAGAGGTGGACAATGGTTTATTTACCAGAAACACCACTTTGGGGACAATCAAATCCACTGATGAACTAATGCCAAAAAGGATGAATAGAGGGGGGAGGAAAAAAAAAAAAAAAAGAAGAACGGAAAACAAAAACCACGAGAAAAGTCAAAACCTTTCGTCATAGCGTTTGCTGAAACGAGTTTGTTTGTATTGCGAGCGGACACAAGAATCTGCAGCGGGGGCTGCGGGCTGAGCGCTTCCTGCCCCACGGCACAGCCTGCAGCCCTGCCCCGTGCTCATCTGCACTGCCATCCTCCTCACCGAGCGCCCCTCTCTCCCTGCACTTGTTTAGAAGTGCCACCCCCACTGGTGGTTGTATCTCCAGGGGCGGCAATAACAGCCGCCGGGAGCGATAAGAGCCTCTTTGCTCAGATCACCGCCTCGTTCAAATGTTGTCATCATGCGGGCCAGCGCTTCTGCCACCTCCTCGGCGCACAGAAGCGATGCTCTGTGAGCTCTGTGTGGATCTGTGGATGTCGGCTCGGTGCCGTGCGGGTGCTGCTCAGCTGCCGCTTGCAGGAGGCAGCGCTGGCAGGGACTGAAGGGCAGCAGAAGGACGGCTCAATTATTCTGTGTCATCCACGAGGAGCTCAGCTCCTGTCGGAGTCCCAACGGAGAGCAATGGAACAGTAACTCGGCTGCAGGAAAGAAAGGGAGGTGGGGGGAAAGAAGGGAAGAAAAAGGAGGGGAAAAATGGCCCGTGAAGTCTGTACAGAAGCTGAGGTCGCGGGGATTGACAGCTGCTAGGAGATATCTCAATTCTTGTGCCGAAAATAACACCTCTCTGCACCACAGACCTGCGTTTTCAATTAAATATTGGGCAGTGAAGAGGGGAAAAAGAGCTCAGAGATAATTTCAGAGGAGGGAGAGGAAATGGGAAACAGACTTATAGAGGAAGTCTCTCTTGCTGGTCCCAGTAACCTTATTTCCTCGCGTTTGTCCTGTGTGTTTCTTTTTCTCGTCTCTTATCTCCAGCTCTCCTTTTGAAGCCCTGGGAACACAGAGGTGTGGCCCTGAGCAGAGGAGCTGGACAGGAACACTTCTCTCACATTGTCCTTGGTGAGGGGATGACATTTAATTGCTGCCATTGTTCCCAGGCACGAGGCTGCACCAGCATCACCAGTATTAGTAGGTAAGATGCAACACTATTGCACAAAATGCTGCCATTGCTGATGTAATAGCAATCAATAAATGGCTCTGGCCTGCTTCCTCCGCTCAGCCAGGGGTGGGTAGGGATGCTGAGGGTGTTTTGGGGCTGTGTTGGGGTTGTGCAGCCTCTACGCCCCCTGTTCCCATATTCTTTTCTGCATCCCACACCCAGCAGTGGCTGCAGCTGCTGTGCTGGAGCCTTTGGCTGCTTCTGCCCATGTGTCTATTGAGATGTACTCTTAAGGCAAGACACAGCCCCAAGGTGCCTGTGTATTTTGGAGGGCTGGGAGGTGCCACCCCATGTCTAGGCAGCCAAGTGCATCTGCTGTGCCAGAACCACTCCTCAGAAATGTGCCTTCCAGCAGCCCAGGACAGAGATGTCTGTCCTCTCCTTTGCCCCGCGTCTCTCTGCAGGTGGAGAACGAAGCAGGAGCCAGAGTTGTCTGCTTTGTAAGGAGACTCTGCTCCCTTTCCCCCATTCCTGGACCTGTGCACTGGGAGTCATGCTCACACACCATAAATTGTATCTGCTGTTGCACTGACAGGCTTCCCTGGAACACGGGCCTGTTTATTTTATATGCCGAGAAACATAAATGTTTGCACTAAGCAGCAGACACGATGGGAGCAGATGCAGGTATTTCACCTTTGAATCCCAGCCTTGCCGGCTTGCTAGGAGCTGAGCAGGAGGCTGATGAATTGCAAACACATTAGGACCCCAACTTGCTGGCAGACCTCTTGCCTGGCTTTCTCAGCTGTTTAGCTGATGAGTTGTTTAAGTGGTCTTTTTATTGTGCTTCCTTTCCAACTGCTCAGACATGCTGATGGTAGGAGGCTCTGCTGAGCTCCAGGCAACCTTCCCCAGCAGCATCCTTCACACCAAGGGGTGTTCCTGAGCCCTTTTGGGCTGATGGAACAGGGTCTGCGTGTCACCCACCTATGGACTCATCTTGCGGGGTCCATGGGTTTCATAATGTGGACCACCTATTGTGATCTGACCTGGGTTTGTTTTTGTTAGAGTCATGTGAACTCATTTGTGAGTATCCTGAACTGCTGCCCATAACTGTTCTTCCCCCTCTAAAACTTTCACTGAGATGCCAAAGCGTTTCACTGAGCTGGATGTTATTTCCTGGTCTGATGTTGATTCTTTGCTTCTTCCGAGCTTTGTCCAGACCCTGAAGGGCCCCCATGAGAACGTGTTCTCTCAGAGCAGGGAGCTGATACTGAGCTCCTGGGGTCAGCCTGCACTGATGCAGCATGTTAGGTGCTGGATGCGTCCCTCACAACGCCACTGTGGCTTCTGCTCATCTCCCTGAGCCCAGTGTCCTGCGGCTGTGGGTGGGACAAGTGTTCCCACTGCCCCCAAACTTGTGCAGAAGGCCAGAAGGCCACTGCCAGGCTCCGGGTGCTGCCTGGACTGGAGGAGCAGGGCTGAGCCCCCCCGGGGCAGGGCTGGGAGCTGCAGGAGGTGCAGGGAGCGGCAGGATGTCAGGACGCAGCACCTGGAAGGAATTAGCGCTTACCCTCAGCCATGGCTTGTAAGGAGAAAGAACAAAGCAGGCGAGGAAAAACCAGAGCAAGAACAAAATGGTGCTAGTGGGAAAAGGCATTCCTGCTGCTCTGCAAGGGGGAAGGGGAGGTCTGAGCAGCACGGCAGGGCTGTAGGGGCAAGGCTGCTCCCTGCGAGGGGCTCAGCCTCTTTCACGTTTTCCGTTCACTTCTGCCTCTGACTTTTTCCTCCTCTTTGCCTTTCCCTCTCTTTCCAGCTTTCTCCCATCCCTCTTTCCTTCTCCAGTCCCTTCTTTTTGTATGCAGGCCTCTCATGTATCCCCTTTGCTCTGTGCCATTGCAGACAGTGGACAGGCAGCGTTCCTCCTGGTGCACAGTGACCGTCCCCTCCTCCCAGCCTGGGGTTGCCTGCGATGGAGTCTGGGTGCCAACCCTCACCCACAGCCCTCCTCCAGCCGCAGAAACGAGGAGCAGAGTCTGACTATTGTTATGTTTGAGTAAATTAACAGGTATTCCAGAAACTGCCGCTGTTTTCAATGACCCGTTTTTAAAAGGGATACTTTGTGCGTTGTTCTGGGGGGGGGGAGGAAAGAGGGGAGGGAAGAGAGCTTTCATCCCCTGTAGGTTTTGCTTTGCTTCCCAGAGGTCTTTGGTTAAGGAAGCGATTACTACTGGCCTACAAGGCCTGAGCACAGCAATTACCCAAACAAAAAACAACGATTACTGCTTTTCACGAGAGACTTTTGTTCCTTCCCCTCTTCCTGGAGCGTTCTGTCCAAGGTGAGGCTTCATCGCCCCACCGAGGTCCCCAAGCTGGGAGCAGAACTCCAGCCAGTCAGCCCTGGATGCACTCTGCAGAGGAATTTGTTCCTAAGCCCAGTGTGCGCAGCATTAATAACATTTGCAACCCTCCTTGCTCTTCAAATGTGCCAGAGCTTTGGCTGAGCACAAACCTGGCTCTGTTATTGTGCAGAATTCCTGGAGCAGAAGAGCAGAGGTTGTAAACCGGAGATCTTGGACCCAGGGAACTGCTGGACTTAGCGAGGTAGCAAATAAATGAACCCTCTGTGAGCCCTGGGTTCTTCTCTCTAAAGCTCTGCAAGAATGGGCTTCAGGGCGACTGGGAAGGCTCTTTCTCCCCTTTTTGCCCTCTTCTCACCTCTGGCTAGGCTGGCTCGTCCCTTGGTGCTTCTGGCCAGCTGCAAGCAGGAGTCGCACGCACTTCTCAGCCAGGTTTTCAGCCAGCAGTGTTGGCTTGGGGCACTGGGCAAGTTTGGAGAAGTATTCAGACCTCTGAGTGCTTTACCCACAGCTGAACTCTAGCAGAGCTGGTGACAGGAGGGGCCTCCATAACTCATCCGCTCTGTCTCCCTCAAATTCCCAACTTCCTGAGTTTCTCCCACCACCATCTTCTGTCCCTATAGGGCCTGATGTAATAGGGTAGCAGTAAAAAGTTACTAGGTATAAATGAACTGATGGGGATTAAAGAACCAGCACATGCCTCCTGGAAGGCTTTAAAAGCATCCTGTTTAGAAACAGCTCTGTTTCTGTGTCCCGCATTCTTTGTAATTTTCTTTCCCCTGTTTTTTCACTCATATGGAGGAGCTGCAGATGGAACAGGCTCACCAGGTCCCGGCTCATGTGTCCTTGCGGGGCTGTGTCCCACACAGGCCTTCCCCAGGCATTTCCTTGCCTTTTCATTTGGTTTCAGATAGCTCATGCCTTGCCCTGGGGACCTCATTACACCTAGGGGTGCAAGGGCAGGGTGCAGGAACTGCTCATGGTGCGATGTGCAGGGTGGAGCAGGGATGCTGTGGCTGTTAGGGATCAGCCCCAGCCACGGCTCTTCTGTGCCACGCAGTTTTGCACAGAGCTGCTTCTCGCAGAGCCCCACTAGCTTTGTCAGAGCCACATGCCACCACTGGGCTGCTTGGGGAGGAGGTGGCCGGCTCTGTGTGTGGCTCTTCTAAATTATTCTTGGGGAATTTTGGTCTCGTCCCCCCGCTGTGTCAATGTGTTCCACCCCACGGATAAATACCACATGTGCTCTGTGGCAAACTCGGTGGCTGGCTGTTCTTTTTGAACCTAATCTATCGGTTGGGTTGCGGCAAGGGTCCCTGGCAGTGCTCTGGGAGCAGTGGGCAGCAGCCCTGTGCCCACAGCCGGCCCTCGGAAGTGCAGTGCTGGGAGCTCCCAGTGAGCAGAGTGGTGCACGACAGGCTGTGCTGGCCTTGGCCGGCACTGATTAATTTGTGGCCGTCGGATGCATGTTCTGGCATTTCTGTGGTATTTAGAAAGTCTTAATGGCTCCAAAGAGCAGCCTGGCGTGGCTGTAAGGAGCCCATGGAGCTGGGCTGTGTTCCTCAGCAGGAGCTGCCCTGGTGCTGCTGCTCACAGGTGCCAGCTGGGGTTCCTGTGCTGAGTCCCAGGGGTTGGCAGGTTGGAGCCCGGAGGGCTGCAAAGGTCTTTGCTACGAGGGTTGTGCTGGAAAACATTAAGAGACCTCAGCTCCCCTGGGACTCTGTATGCTTCCCGGCTCTGCCTGAGCCGCACCCGCAGTGCCAGAGTGAAGGGTTTTCTCATCACACCTTGCTGTTGGAGATGGATACAGAGCCAAGGCAGGAGAGGAGCCATGGATGTGCTTTTCTAAAGGAGAGCAAACCGAACATTTCGGATGGTATCAGCTGAGGTTTGATGTGAGATGCAGAGTGCAGTCCTGGGCCAAAGCATGATTTTTTGCAAGCAGTTTTGAAAATACAGAAGCTTGGTTCGTGTCTATCTTCAGAAAACCCTCCAGCTGGGAGGTGATCCCTCTCGCTGCCCTTCTGTGCTGCATTTTCATGCTGGGTGGCCTGGAGCTTTTTCCCATGGTGACCGAGAGAAACCAGAACCAGGCTGGGCAGAGTCCCAGTGACAGTGGAATATTATTGAGGCGATGGCTGAGTGTTCACACACCCACATGCAGCCAAACACAGCTCCCTTCTCCCTCAGGCTGAGCACGGTGCCCTATCTGAGCGCTGCCATCTCCCTCCACCTGTTCAGTGCACGTGTAGGTAATGCTGGCAGCCTTTCTCTGGAACGAAGTGTGGGAAGATGGTTTGTTCTCTCGTCGGCAATCTGCAGCTGATGAGGTGCACGTGTTTCTGCAGAGACAATGGTGGTGAGGGAGTGTTGGTATCATCATGTGTCCCTCATTTTGAGGAAAATTTGGCTTTTTGTTCTGGACAGTTACAGCATTTTGCAGAGCTCTGCACAATCACAGGGCAGGAGCAGTGCCTGTTTCCAGCTGCTTTACACGAACCTTGCTGAACAAAACTGCTGTCAGAGCCTGGTGCCCACCCAGAGCCATGAGACAGATGTGTGTGAGCGGAAGATTCCATATTAGAGCTGACGTTGATCCAATTGGAGGTGTCTCTTCTGCTACAGCAGGTCTCAGTCTTTATTTCTCTCTGTCATCCTCCTGCATCTCCCTGCATGCTCCCACCTGTGTGTGCAGTTTCAGCCTGAGCAGAGCTGGCTGGTCGGGGCCATATATTAGACTGCAGTGCCTTTTGCAGACAAGGTCGCCAACCAAGAGCTACGAGTGATATTGTTCTGGGCTCCAAGGATGCTGTGCGTCTCTGCTCCCTCATTTCACAGAGGATGAGGTCCCAGCCAACACTGCCGCTGAGGTGGAGAGCGGCGCTGGATGAGGTGAGGGTACCCAAAGCTGCTTTTGAAGGAGGAGGCACTGTGAAAAGTGTGTGAGGCTGTGATGATGCTCTGCAGGGTGCTGAGGACCCTTCTCTGCTGCACTGATAACGCTACCTGGAGGCACAAAGGACTCCTTGGGGCAAAGCCCTTCTGCAGCCTGCACTCCGTCACAGGACACAGCTGCACAGCTTCTCACCACAAGCAGCAGGATCCATTCCAGCCATGACATAGCTTTGGTTTCCCTGGCCTCTGTGGCTTGCATCTCACATGGACCACCACTCTCCCAGCCAGCTGCTCTTCTGCTGCCATTGCCCTGCCCACATGTGCTGCGAGCAAAGCAGGACCCCGGTGCCGGCCTCTCTGCACACTCTGCCCAGCCCCACGGCGATGCCCAGAGCAGGTTTCCTACAGCTCAGCACAATCATGGGTATGCGCAGGGAGCGCTCCCATCCATCTGCTGAACTCTTTGGGAAAAATATAAAGAAGCCAAACAATGAGTGAGTACAAAAGCATATGTGAAGAATTGGCAAGGAGTGTTCCCTGACTCACAGCATCCATGCTTCTGCATGTCTGCTCCACGCACAGATCGTTGCCTCTCCTTGCCTTTGCTTTAATTAGTAAGGGCTGAGCACACTCTGGGAACATGCTGGAAGAGGAGTGATGAACAAAACAGCAGCTCCAGAGGAACGCATGCACTGAGGAGTTTAAGATGGAAAAAGGGGCCTGTCTGCATTCTGTGGTTGTGTGTGCATTGCGGATGGACGAGGGCAGTGCTGGGGGCAGGCAACTTCCACCCGTGGGTGCCTGTACACACCGTGGGAAACAATTCCTGGCCATGGAGCTGCAGTGCTGGGCCTGCTGCACGGTGGCTGCTACAGCCTGCAAGCACAGGGGCTCCTGGAGCAGGCTGAGGTACAGCCAGGCAGGGCTGTCCTCACTAATTACCTGTGCCAGGTGCGTTCCTGAAAGCATTATTTCTCCAAGTGGTATTTAGCTCATGCTCTTCTGGTGCTGGATTAGGGGTCTGGACAGTCTCTCCTACGGCCTTGGCCAAGGCTGTGCTCAGATACTTCCAGCGACATGCTGCTGCCTCCCTCCAGCAGCAGCTGAGAAGTGACCCGCTCCCATTAGCGCTGCTCTGTGCAGCTCCACCCAGGTGCCCCGACCAGGTCATTACCTTCCCTGGAGATGCACAATTCCTCCCCTTCATCCCACCACAGATCCACACAGACCATCTGTTTGTGGTCTCTTTGGCCGTACTAGAGCTTGGCTCTGTTAGACTATCTCCGTTCTTTGCAGCCTCCCTGAAGAAGCCACAGACTTTCTCAGCAACGCTCCAAGAATGCAGCCTAGTGGCCTCGCCGTGCGCCCCAGCTCATGCTGCGCTGTCACCGCTCCCAGGTGACAAACGAGCGTGCAGGGAGTGGGAAGGCTTCCATGGGCAGCACGAGCCCCTCCTCATCCCCCTTCAGGAGCAAGATCAGGGCAGTGATAACGGCTTTGTTTTAAAGGAAGAAGAGGAAGGAAAATGGAAGTGATGTCTACAACAACAGGAGTTGCCTCACCCAGTATCCCAAGGACCTTGGCTGCCAAACCTGCGTGGATATAAACGGCTCAAACAATGCACAGCCCTATCTGGGGACTGCAGGAACCCCTCTTTCCTCGCAGGATCAGATACGGTGTTGGCACGGATGGCACTCCGGCCATTGTCCCACAGCCACCGGCCGGCAGTGCCTCTCCAGCTCAGTGCTGGTGGCCTGGAGTGGCAGAATCGCAGGAAATCAGACCAGGTCATATCCCACATTAAATGCATCACGCCGCAGGGCAATATTTTTTCCCCAGTTGTTCTTGGTGGCTCTTTCTGGACACGAGGAGCAGTGTGACACACAAAGAGCTGGCTTCCCAAAATAACTCAGCGTGCAGTCACTGCTGTGCTGATTCTTGGGCTACTCACGGCCACATCCTCCCTCTGACCAAGGCCAAACGCTGCCGGCCAAAAAGCATCCGGTGGGGCTGGGAGTGCTCCTGGGGCTGGGAGGGCAGCATCCCACAGTACTGGCTGACGGAGGTCAGCACCTGCTGTGCTCTCCTTGCCCTGTGGTGAGCAGAGCAGGGAAAGCCCCTCTACTGCACCCCTCCTAACGCACCTGCACCATTCAGTGCAGCTGCTGCTCCCTGCACGCGCTGCCCTCACCCTGCAGGGCCGTTTCTCCCCATCTCCCAGCCAGCAGCATGACCCAGCAGCCTTCTGCCTTTAAGATATTACCCTTAATTAATTTGTCTGTACCGATACTCCTGCTAATACTATTATTTGTAATACCTCAGTGCATCCCCGGGGAAGGGCACGAGTCTTAATTAACATCTGTAAAGCTGCCTGAGCACCATTCCTGGAAAACGTGAGGCAGGGAAGGTGACTGTCGTACCACCATGGTTTTAAATTCTTTTTTCTTCCCCTTTTTTTTTCAGTCCTCTTCAGCAGACTCCCAGAACTCTGACTACCCAGGCTCATTTACCAGCGTTATCTGTGCCAGCGCAGAGCCCATTGCCCCCTGCCCCTCCCCACAGCACAGCCCCACTGCCCTATAGAGCAGACAGGACCCAGCAGTGCTCATGGACTTCCTCAGCACAGCTCTCACCCCTGTCTGCATGCACACACACACAAGCACACTCCCTCAGTGGATACACGGAAGTTGTCCTGCAATGCTTTGCAGCCCCCCAGCAATATGCAGGACCACATTCCTGCCCACTGACCAGCAACCCAGGGGCTGCCCAGCACGCTCACCTCGCCGTGTGGTGCCTGAGGCCCCACTGCTGCTGTGCTGAAGCTGCTCCGCCAAATCTCCCACATCTTGGCCGAGCTGAGCTCCCAGGCCAGCCAGATTTCTTATGCTTAGCAAAAATATTCATTAACGACTTAATCTGCACACACACAGGGGAAGCTTTTAGTGTATTTGTTCTAGGTCCGTGAAACAGTGATCTGGCCACTGCTTTAAACTCTGCCTTGATCTGTGATCTCAGAGATGAAGAATTCAGCAAAATGCTGCTGGGGGAGATGTCCCAGAGCATCCCCTGTGCTCACACTGCAGCGTAACCGCGGACACGCACCGCTCGACCCAGAAAGCGCGTGTTGCAAGAATGTGCTTTGAGCCACAGCTCATGGGCAAGGCCATGGGACCAGCTGTGCTCTTGGTGTTTGTTTGCCAGCTTTGGGATTTGTGTCACAAACTCCGTGTCATTTGTGTCCCAGCTGCTGAAAGCACGGAGGAAGCAGATGAAAGCCTTTCGCATCTGCTCCCTGGGAGTGCCGGAGTTCCCCACATGCCACCTTTAACTGCTCCTCTGATGGCTTTGGGTCTGAGGGCTCTGGGGTCAGCAGCACTGTGGAGTCCTACACTGGGGAAGGATTTGGCAGAATGCAGAGGGTGAGACTCTTGGCCCTGGCTTACATGGAGGGAGAGTGGGATGGGAGCACGTGAGCCCATGTCAAGGCACTGCGCTGATGCCACAGGGGAAGATGGCTCTGACTGCAGCACCCAGCCATGTAGGTGCTTTGTGGCTGCCATGTGAGCACAGCCAGGGCTCAGAAACATCCTGCTTCTCAAGGCATGTGCTGAGAGAGCTGAGATGCTCCTATGGGACAGCACGGAACCCACGGACTGAAAAAAGGCAGTGACAATTGATGTCCCCCTTCCCGCTCCCTCCACAGACTGTTATGTCTGATGCTAACCTGTTACAGCTGATAACAGTCGCAAATGCTGCTGCTGCTTTCATAAAAATTCGTGGGATGCCAGATTATTTCCACGCGCAATGGAAAACCTGGGGCCGTGTCGCATGGCCTTCTGCCCAAACATCTCCACCACAGCCGCTGTGGAAATGGGGCTGGGAATGCCTTGAGGCTGGGGCTGCCCAAAGTACTGACCGCTGGCTGAGGACGGAGGGACAGATGGACACACAGCTCCTATAGGAGATTCTAAGCACCGGGGGAACTCCATGGACACATCCCGATGGAAGCTGAGTTCCTCAGTCCCATGGGAACATCCGGAGCGTGTTCCAGCCAACAGCCCCTGTGCCTTGAGCAGGATGTGCTCCCACGGAGCAGCGCGGGGAGGGCGAGGAGAGAGCAGTTGGCAGGAGCGCAGCTGCGGCTCGGTGTGAGTTTCTGGGGGGATTTTTATAGGGGGAAGGCTGATGAGTAATAAACAAGGTGCTGCCTGATTCTTGTTTGGAGGAAAAAGGGGAGGGAGAGAGGGGCTGAGGGGAAGAGAGAAGCACAGGGAAGAGGAGAAGGAGAAAGAAATGACCTTGGTGAGCTTTTCTGGCTGCTCTCCAGGTAGCAGACTGATGCCAAAAAAATCTCCGAGTCCCTTTTGGCTGGAAGTACGCTCCCTGCGTTAGGTGAATCACACACACATTTCTGGAACATTACATGTTCACAGTTGCAAAGCTCACAGTAATTAGAAAAACTACAAGACCAAGGCAGGGGGAAAACTATGAGTCACACATGGAAGCAGTGTTATTGTGCTGCAGGAGGATCAGCTTTGCAGACTGCCGAAGGTAAGCGTGCATCGGCTGCACCCTGCCCTGCCTGGGGTGTGCAGGGCTGTGCGTGCACAGAGGGGCTGAGCTGCAGCCAGGTGGGGTGTGAGGTTCACATGGAATGGCCCTGGACAATGGATTGCTGCTGAGGCTCTTCACTTTCTGCAGGGATGTTCTCACCCACAGTCAGAGCGCTGCCCACATTGAGCATCATCCACATCCAACCTTGAATTTCACCATTCCAAAATAAGCTCTTCTTACTGCAGATGGAGAGCTGTAATGCCAGGATCTGCTCACAAGGAGTTATTTCAGTGCAGCACCCTGCACTGGTGGGTGCACAGCTGCCGCCAGGCTACGTGTGACCAGGAGCCCACTCTCTGGCACGTACCTGCAGCAGGGGGTGACTGACCAACCGCCCACTGCTGCTCTGCATTGAGTTGGTGGGAGAGCCCCCAGCAGCCCCCTGCATTCAAGGGGGTTTCATAAATCACGCAGACAGTCTTGTTTCAAATGAACCAATGGATGGAGCTTTTATCCCTTTCTTTGCATGACCCTTCTGCTGGTATTCATTAACAGCACAAAGGGTGCTTTAACCTAGGAGCAAACCGGGCTCTTCTCTGTTTAGTTAACTCTCCTCCTGAGTCCTCCCATTTGGCACAGGCAGAGCCATGCTCCTTGTGCGTGCATTGCCTTGTGTTGGGTTACTCTGCATCACGTTGCATTCTGTTGTGTACTGCGCTGCACCGCCTTGCATCGTGTCGCATCGTGTCACATTGCATCAGATCATCAGATCATACTGCACGACATCCTGTTGCCTTGCATGGCCTGGCAGCGTGTTGCATTACATCACGTTGCACCTTTGGGTGAGCTCTCAGCTGTGTCGCTGCCTGGTTCCTGAGCAGCATGAGCTCCCGCCAGCCCAGACGCAGTGCTCCCAGATCAGCCTTGTCCAGCAGCTATGGGCAGAGAGGGCTGCCAGCGGTCAGCGGAGCCTCCATTCAGGGAAGGCCAAGGAGTGGATTACGCAGCAGATGATGAAGCGATGCTATGGACAAACCGCCCAAACACGAAATCTTCCTGCAATACTCCAAGACAGATTGTTACACATCTCTGCCAAGAAATCAAACATTCCTGCTAGAGTCAGGGCTTTCACAGAAGCCCCCTCCGAGACATCAAGTGAGGCTAAGACAACAGTCCAGAGCTTTGCTAGCAAATCATGAGTCCCGAGTGTCTCTCCAGCTGGCAGGACCATCACTGACCTGAATGGCCTTGTCCTCCCCGAAGCAGCTCTGTCAATTTGGCCACAATCCACTTAATAATGTAGCTAGAGTATAAAGATGTATCCAGGCCCAACCACAAAACAGCTGGAGTCTGTAGGGTTGACTTAATCCTGGTAGAATAAAACAGGGAAACTAGTGGGAGTCAGTGAGGATGTTGCTGGCTGGGCTTGGAGCAGTGCTGAGTAATAAAAGGGATCAAATGTGTTAGGCGCAAGCTGTCTGGAGCCTCAGTTGTTGTTGTTGTTTTAACTAATTGAATTTTAGTGCTGGTGAAAGGTACCAGATTGACAGCTCTGGGGAGCGGTGTCTGCTTCTCACACCAGGTACAGAACAGTCAGCCCCCTCTTAATTCCCATCTTGGCCCAGACCCCGTGCTTTCCTCTCCTGGGGAAGGCCCCTGACATCTTTCCTCGTGCAGCTGGGACCTGCACCAGGGCTCTCTGCATGTCCCACTGACCTGCTTGGCCGTGTGGAGGTGCTTCAGGTCTGGGAGGACAGAAAAAGCAATGGGCACAAGGATCGTGATCATGCCTGGAAAGGGCTGGGCAACTGCAGGGGCTGTCTTGGGGTGGAGTGATGTTGAAGGCTCACGCTGTTCAGGGTAAGAATTCCACTTTAGCCAGCTCCCAGGAAGGGCCATGCAGGGCTGTGACTGGGTGGGAATGCTGGAGCTGGGGCTGGAGGGTGAGGGCAGGAGCAGCATCTCAGAGAGGATCAGCGGCTGCATCCCTGGGGGTGCTGGAAAGGGGTGCAGCTGCATGCAGGTGCTGGGTGGCGCAGGCAGAGACACTGCAGGGCTTCACCCCCCTTCTGTGAGGCAGGGACAGCAGGGACAGTCCTCGCCTGGTCAGTGCTGCAGGGTCTGTCACTCTGTGCTTTTACCCAGTGGGTGTATGACAGCCAGAAGACACCTGCACCATGCAGGGCTCTGCAAGTTGGGGTGAGTCTGGCCCTGGGCTATGCAGGGCCATATGCAGGCAGCAGCAGCACCAGAGACCCTCTGTTCCAGCAAGCACACTCATGGTAGCAGCTTCCCAGGGCTGGCTGCTTGCAGGACACCTTGTCAGCCCTGCTCTGTAAATAGCTGGGAAGCAGCCCAGCAGGAAGCTGCAGGCTTTTGGAGAGGAGAAGGGAAGGGCTGGGCTTCAGCGCTGCAAAGTCCTGGTCAGAGGGGGCTGGTGGGGCCAGGCAAGGCAGGGCCATGCTGGCAGTGCAGTGCTGTATCCCTTTGCATGCCTGTGGGCTGGCACACAACAGCTGGCAGCAGGCAGCACAGGGCAAGGCTTGCTCTGCCTGGTTGGGAGTGATGCACTGCTCCTATTGTGGGGACTTTGGAAGTTGCTTAGCAGACACTGAGGAAGATAAAAGCACAGAGATTTGACCTTTTCAGGCATGCTGTGACCATCCAGGTGCAGAATCTGGGAAGCATTTGTTTGTGATCCTGATGGGCACCGGACACAAATTCCCCAGTGTGCAGGTCCCCTTCTTGGTGGCTCTCTAACTTAGATGAATACAGTGCTGGTTTCAGGACTGGATGGAGCACTGCTCTGCTTTGCTGTGTCAGTTCCTATGTTCTGACCCACATCTTGCAGGCATCTATTGGGAGCTGGCTCTGGTGTCAGACTCACAGTATATTGGATTTCCAACTGGGGCAGCTGCATGGGAACTGTGGCCCTGCTAATAACATGGTGTGCCCCATCCCTGCCCATCCCGGGAGGAGGGAGTTGAAAACAAGGAAGGATTAACAAAAGCCATTGCTTTACTGTAATGTGCCCTGGATTGCTTTAGTTCATTTTATTTTTTTTCCTAGGGAGTTGAGATGAGTGCATTTGTACATTTCTGAGTGATCTCAAATTTTGAGTGCAGCCGTGCTGTGCTGTGCTGTGCAGGGAGAGGCTTAGCATGGAGCTCGTGTAGTGCAACAGCTGAAACTCAGCATCCCCAGTGCAGGAGACATTGCAGCTGGTGCAGTTGTGTTCAGCACCCAGCATGCACACGCACAGGAGGGGAAAGTCAGCACAGTCTCTGCGGGTAGCCACGCTGGGGGACAGGTTCCCTGCTCAACACACATTTTTTGTAATAAAAAGATAAATGCAGCCTTTCGTATCTGAGCTTTTCCTTTGGGAGGGATGTCGTGGCTGGAGGACATGGAGATCTGCTGTCTTTCAGAGTCACTTCAGCAATCAAAGTCCCCCCAGCTCTAGCTTTAAAGGCTGAGGTCTCTGGCTGGTGGCAACGCAAGGCGCTGCCTCCCCGCTCGCGGCCAGCCGCTCCTGCTAATTACCGAGCTGCTGCTCTCCTCAAACCGTGCCTGCGTCAGAAGCCCAGCATCAAGGGGAGCCGGCGTGAGTCAGACTGGAAAGCCCTGAAAAACACCATACAGGGCCTGGGTGCTGCTGGGGCTGCGTGGATCTTTGGTGCCCTCCTGCCAGCCCCAGGCAGGGCACATCGGAGCACAAGTCCTGCTGCTCCGGAACTGCTGCTGCAGCCCAGGTCAGTGCTGCTGCCCACGCTGCCCATCTCGTGGATCCAGTGCTGTGTTAGCACTTCTCGCTGCCCTGCAGCTCCTTTGTCCATATGGATGTTGGGTGTCTCGTTGTCCTTTGGAGCTCCCCATGGGATGCAGACCACCCGTTTGTTGGTTGTTGCAGAGAAGCAACAACCACAGGGACATGCAGAACACAGCATGACCAGTCCCCAGGGGAAGGGAAGGGCTGAGGCAGACCCCATTCCCCACCCAAAGCCCAAGCCCTTTGCTTGGGGTCCTCCAGGGGCTGCAGCCCGAGGTCCCTCCCATGTCCCACCCGGCGCGGTGACAGCGGTGGCAGCGGGAGCGGCGGAGCTCAGCCGGCACCTGGCACTGCTGCTGCTCGGAGCTCGGCGTCATTGAAATGCAGACAGCGAGGGCTGCACGACAAAGCGGGTGGCGGGCGTCCCTGTTAGCTGGCCTTGCATGCCACCTACGGTTCTTTCGGTGGAGGTGATGCGTGCTCTTTGTTTGACGGAGGAGCCGTTTATTTGCAGTCAGGCTGAGGCATCAGTGGCAGACAGAGATTCCCCAGCGGCTGTCTCTTTATCTGGAGTAAAACTCCAATATAAAACCCATAATAGGCAGCGCTGGCGCCTGGCCACAGCTCAGCTGTGCCGAAGGGCTGCATGCAGTGCCCCGCTCGTGGTGGGCACGGAGCTGGTGCGCATCTGGCAGAAAGCAGCTGTAATAAGGAATGGTTAAGAAATGAGCCACGTGCTATTAAGATGCGCCATGGGAAGTAAGAGGGGTCTCGTATGGCAGCTCAAGCCAAGGAGACCGTGTAACTGGTGGGGAGATGTGCTCTGAAGCTGCCACTGCATGGCTGCTTCACACTGGGCTCTTGGATCCAGCAGGCAGCCGACCTCAGCGCCTTGCAGCTGCTCCAGCCCCAGCCCTGAGATGCCTCCTCCTCCTCCCAGAGGTGAGTTTGAGCCTCGGGCTCCAAACCCAGCTTTCAATTTCAGACAGCTTTGGGTTTCCTGTGTCCAGATTTGGGTTTGCAGTTTTCCTTGAGAGGAAGAGGAAGAGCACCTGTGTGGTTAAACCCAGGCCCTGACGCATCCCTGCCAAGACCTCAGGGTCACCAGAGTCCGCAGGGATGGGGGCATCTCAGAGTCCTGCTGTCTCAGCCCTGGGCTTTGTGAGTCAGGGTCTGTAGGACAGAGCTCTGGCAGGTGGGATGAGTGGCCACATCCAGCATCACATGGCACAGGGAGGTGACAGCAAGCAGCAAAGAGGATGCAAGAGACAAATGTCTGTGCCCCGTGTGCCAGCACTAATGGGGGAGGATGTGCTTGAAATGCTAACAGTGTGGTCACTGCTGGAGCAGCAATATGGAGCTGATGGAGCTGAGTGCAGGTCACAGCCAGGGGAGCCAGCGGGGTTTGTCTGATAGTGTCTCACCTTTGAAGCTCAGTGTGAAGATGCAGTGACTTGGAAATCTGCACCGTGGAGCCTGAGCTTCATCAACCAGACTGCTTCTGCCTCATTGCATTTAAAGAGAATGGCGTCTCAATGCCAGAGAGGAGCAGTGCTGGAACCCCAGCTGGGGCTAATGCTGACTGAGACGAGTGCTGTTTTATCTGAGAATTCTTACCCGAAATATGGGGAGAGTGCTTCGAAGTAACCTTCCTTTTCTGGGGATGCAGGGCACACGATGAATGCTGGGGCGGACACAGTATCTATGAGAACCCCATCGTGACGTACCTGGGGGTGAAGAGCAGCCATCTCCAGAGGCGACCTCAGCCCAGGACCTTTCCAGAACACGCAGCCCAGTGCCTGGTGTGAGGGGCTGGAGGGCAGGGGCTGTTCACACTGTGCTGTGCCACCACGTAGCACCGCACAGCGGCCAAGAAGGTGACACCCCTGCGGTGCCCCTGCTCCTGCCTCTCAAATCCAAACGCGAGGTTGCCTTGGAGACAGTGGGACACGATCAGTCCCCGTTGCTCTGATGGCTCCGAGATGCAAACTCGTGCCTCACAGGGAGCCGTCCTGGTACCAAGGCAGCATAGCACACGATACCACACGTGCACCACAGCTTACCCCACATTGTGCTGCCTTGCTCCACCCCTGGGGCTGGCAGCCCATCACCCAGTGAGATGCTGCACGCAGTCCGATTCCTATGGGCTCCTGTGTGTGAATCCACCTGCTCCGAGCATGGGGTGCCCCGTGCAGCTCTGCAGGGCGAGCAGAGCCCTTCAGTGCCAGCACTGGGGCTGCTGGTGATGGGAGGCTGCCCACGCCTGCTGCTGAGCCCCGGAGCCCCCAGAGCCCGCTGTCCTGCGCTGGAGATTTAAGCTCAAACAATAAGGGTAATGGACAGGAAATTAGAGATAAGTAGGTGGTTTGACAGGATTAGGGATAAGCAAAAGAAACATAATTATGTGATAGCTGCTATCGGACAAGGGCTCCTATGAAAGGGAATGTAAATGACCTAAAAAAAGCACTACACCAGATCAAACAGCCACGCTTTGCAGATAACAGCCCAAAAACACAGCGTATAAATATTTATCACAAATGAATTCTCCAAACACTCCCTGCTCACCATCACGTTAACAATAGATGGGACTGAGGATAATAAAGGTTTTCACAATCCTTTTTTTTTTCTCCCCGGGGCTTTCATGCCCGTCCAGCTGTGCGGATGGGTGTGAGATAGGAAGAGGGGTGAGCGCCCAGATGGGTGCTGTGGGTGCTGTGGATGCTGTCCCCCCACGGCGCTCAGGGTCCCATGCCAGCAGCAGGGAGCGGCCAGCAGCCCTGGGAGCAGCCCGGCCCTGCGGTGAGCTCCTCTGCTTGTTGTTATTTATTTGTCAAGAGGGAACACAAAGCCTCCATAACCTGGGCTTGCAAATTACTGAAGCCCAGGAAATGAAAACTCCACGGCAGCATTAATTGGAGGGCTTTTTAATTAAAATCAGCTTGTTTCCCGATCAAAGATTAAAGGAAGGAAGAGGGCTGGAAAAAAAAAAATATAATAAAACAACTCCCTCTCTGCCCCTCTCTGGCATTCATGAGGTGTGGGCTGAGCGCCCTGCGTCATCCCCGCTGCTTTGCTCTCATACCTTTTGATTTTTTCCCCCACTAATGTCTTTTTTTGTCTCTCCTTTCTACCTGACCTCATCCTCAGCTGCTTTCTCTCTCTGCCTGTCGGGTTGAGCCTGGACAGCCCCTCGCTCGGTGCTCGCTGGGCTCAGCGTTTGGGAGCAGGGTGCTGTTCCCCCAGCCTATCCTTGTCCCCTTGAGTGTCCCTGTGTGTGAGCAGAAGCTCCCTTGCACAAGGAAGGGTTATTCTGCTCTGGACTTCTTGATTTGAGAATTAAATTCTGGCACAGAACTTAGTGGTGCCCAAGGATTTAGCTGCTGTGACTAAATGGCATTTGATGGGGCTAAACAGAGTGCAGTGTTAATGAAGCCGTGGATTTGTTGCTTCGAAAGGACTGACATCCCCATGGCTGCTGACAGCTGTGGGGGAGGAAAAATAGGAACAAAATCAGGAAATTCTTTAAAGAAAAAACATGAATTTACCAAAAAGCATTATTTCAGCTCCAGTCCCAGAGTAGCCACCAAGGACATCACGACCCAACACCAGATATGTAGGGGGGCTCAGAGCTGGCTCCAGAGGTAGCAGCACGTGCTGCCCGCAGAGAAAGCTGAAGGAGGAC